ATATATATATATATATATATATATATAACTAAGAATTCTTGCTTATACTAAATTATAAGTATCCTCATATGATGAAAAAATGAATGAAATTCTTTGAGAATTAAATAGAATTTCTTTTGCAAATTGTGATTGTGTTTCTCATGTAAACTTCCATGTGTAGGCAACCTATATCCTATGTAAGAACGATTGACTGCATCGTCTTGGTATTTCAAATATATACTATTTGTAACTGATTTGTTACTCAACATAAAACCATGTTATGTAATGTTCAAAATATAATGTATTTCTAACACCAATTCACTTTAAGAATGTTCTTTACATTAACAGTACCATATAGATACATCTTATTTTGGGATATGCTTTCCACCTACCAAATATAATACCAATTGTACACATTTATGTAACATAAAAACTCTTCAATTTAGAAATAATTTAAACATTCTGTAATGTTTTTCTTTTCTTTTGCAAGAATTGTATACAAAAATGGCAAAAAGTTGTTCATAATTACTAATAAAACAAGCATTGAAAACATTATACTCAGTTAAAATATTTCTTAGTTTATATAAACAAAGATATCAAAAGCAAATGGTAAAATACTTGTAATATCTAGAAAATCCTTTTTAATGTATCCTTAAAAGTTTCTCAAAATACAAAATAAAGTGAGAAAATGACTGATTTGCTTATAAAAAATCTCTTGTTAAAAATAATATATGCCCTTTATATTAATTATTATTCAAACATTTTTATGAAAGATAATATGATTTTTCTTGGTTATGTAATAACAAACAAAAATTAAATGGATTTTACATTTTGAGCCTGCAAATACAGCATAAAAAAAAAGTAGTGAAAATAACAAAAAAAAGTTAATATAAAGTAAAACTAATGTATCAAAAGTAAAAAAAGAATATGTTCCCTATTTATTTTGTTTTTTGTTACTGGTAAAATAGTAAAAAGAAAATATTTGTACGTTACTTACACAATAAAAAAGAAGAAATGCAAGAATACAAATTTCATAATAATGTTTTCTACAAAAATATTAGATATTTCAAAAAATCAGACAAAAGGAAAGTCCTGGATAAGAAAGTACTTCATAAGGCACATGGTAATATAATCCCCAAATATTTCTGAAAACAAACAAACAACACTTTGTATGGAGAAATGTAAGTAGAAGAAATGATGAGTTACAACTGAAAGTATGTTTAGGGAAAGCTTAATCAATCACAAACATTACCAAAGAAATAAAATAAATTAGTTTATGGAAAATTAGTAGTAGATTTTATTTACTTACCGTCACTGAGGTTTGCATTGTATAAAGCCTTTTTCTTTTCTTTTTTTTATAATGCTTTCTAGCACACAAAAATTTCCCTACAAAAATATTAAAACATTGATAAGGCAATTACTAGAATTCATACTAAAAATGTATGTAAACATTTTTAAAATGCATACATAACATGTATTTTAACTAGTGACTTTGAAAACTAAAATTACCATGTTAAACACTGAAATTATTTTCTACCCTCAAATATACATATATAACTGTATAATTTTATCTATAACTATAATTTATGGACTATATTCTACCATGTGAAATTAGCAATCACATTATTATAAAAGTTTTGTTGTAATTAAGCACAAAGCTACACAATGGGTTATCTGTGCTCTGCTCACCACGGATATCAAAACCTAGTTTTTAGTATTGTAAGTCTGCGGACATACTGCTATGCCACTGGGGGGCAATTATAAAAGATGTTAGAACTATATGTTGTTATGTAAATATGATAAGTTAATAAGTTTAAACCATTAATTTTCACCAAATATCAAAAGCCATGAGTGATTAGGAATTTTGTAAAACCATACCTTTTTTTGACTTTTCTCTATTATTAGTTTCTCCAACTATAGTCTGTTTCATAGCTTCTCGTCTACAGAAATCAAAAACAAATAGTTTATGCAGATGAAACTATAACACGTATGTATATAACATTTAAATTGTGATTGTTAAGATAACTTTTGCTTTTCATATCTTCTTAAATTTTCATTCACATACAAGACTTCATGCTTAAGTTTGGCCTTAAGACATTTCTAGTTTGTTAAGACTGTTCATATCTCTATTTGATCTTTGTTTTTGATCTCCAAACTTAGTCTGAGAGATAAATGAACATCCAATTCCAGCGACCCTAACTGGATTACCAACTTTTCCAATCTATAGAGAATTCTGTTAATCTGCTTTTGGGCAAGAAAGAACAATGTAACAAGATTTGAATTAGTTAATCTCTTATAGCTCAATGATAGAAGTAGAGTTTATTTCTTTTAGATTAATAAAAAGTTACCCTAAACAGTAATTTCATTGTTTTAAGATAGGAAAATGTAGTGTTTTATCTATTATACCCAATCCTCAAACAGAAAATATTTTACATGAATATGCTGATTTGCATTTATAAGCATTCTGTTAATTTTCCTTAATTTACTGCAATTCTCTAAAAACATTTATTTATCTGGAAGAATTAATTATTTTGCTTACTGCTGCTGGAAGGATTTACTAGGAACAAGACCAGCTAAACTCTGATCCTCTTCACCCTCTCGAAATGCCTGCCACCAGTTTGGATCATCTTGGTTCAAAATATGTAAAATGTCTCCTTTTTGGAAAGAAATTCCAAGTTCTCGGCATGGTATGTACAAGTCATCATCAGGATCATAGTCAAAGTGAGCTTTCACATGCATCTGTTACAACCACACAAAATTCAAACAGATAAAATATGATACTTTTTCTGTCCTTTCCTTACACAAAAACTTAAGAAGTGTTTCATTATTTGTGCTGCTAAATATATATATATATTTTTCTAAATCAGAAAACTTGTACTCTTTCAATTTAAGAAAATGCAAAAATAAACAGAATAACTGCTTATTTCCTCAAATCAAATACTGGTATCACATCACAAACAATTTCCCACAATAACTCAAGCTATAGTATGTTTAAATAGGGGTAGTCTGGTTTTATATGATTAATTAGGGGTGTGGTGTTTGAATGTAACATTTATTCCTATCTTCTTGTAAATTTATACATTTTATTTTGAATTTACTCTTTGTTCTGTATATGAACATGTTTCAAGATACATGGTCGAGAAAGCCATTACATATATGCTACTTTTGTTCCTTTGTTGTTCCCAGAAATGGATAATACCTGCAACAGCCCAGGTATGCTATTATTCAACATAACATATTATGTAAGGATGCCAACAGCAGTGTCCTTCAATGGTTGTTCAGGTGATATTTAGAAGTTATGACCCCACCCAGTGGTGGCTCGTGACCTTTGAGGAAGGTGGGGCAAATATATAATTTAGAGACTGACTTCAATTTTTTATCATTCTAGAAGTAATATGTATGTATGTATAGAGTGTATGATGTATCATAGTTTATTCATATACATACACTTTTATGAAAATACATACACCTTACAGACTTACATGTAGGTATAGCTATATTAGGAAAAATAATTTTTAATTTTGTTCAAATTTTCAAATAAGGTTACCTTGAACATTTACTTGTAAAGGTACTCTTGCTTCTATTTTTTGTGCAGCAAAAAGGTCAATAACCTTAGTGATAAATTGTGGAATGCTCTTGATTAGTTCTCTATGAATGGACAAAACGGCAAGTATATTCAATCTGTCCTGAAACATTGTATACTGGATAAAAGTTACAATTATCTTTAGAGTGCTGAAGCATCACTCCGATTCTGCAGTGGCCACTGGAGTTATAAGTACAACTTCTAACATTTTCAATGTTTCAGGAAATGTATTGATTAATCTGTTGTTATTCAAAAAAGCTAAAAGGTCACGAGGATTTTTCAATTACCTGAAGGTTTCATTGCGATAGAGAACTTTCAGTTCTTTCCAAAGGCTATCTTTTATAATCATGTTGTAATGTTCTGAAATAGTGCTTATGTCTTCCTCTGTAAAGGCATTTTTACACAAGTGAAACTTTGAGGGACAAATTAAGGCAATTGAAGAGAAGAATTTTGAAAATAGGTCTTCATTTGAATTATTATGACATCACAAATAGCTGTAGCATCTTGCTCCAAATTTTCCCATGGATGAGAACTGAGCATTGCCTTCATCATTAGCCAAATATTCCGGTAAATATTTGTGCATGTTTGTGCAAATGTCAAGTATAACTTCTTCAAAGTGCGACAATGCATCAGTTACTTTTATCCTATTCGAGCTTTCAACACATCACAGAAAAAAAACCTAACAAGTAATTACTTGCCTCACTTATGCTGTGATCATCCATTTTTTCATCATTCATTTGTCAAACAATTACATTGTCACTTTTAATATACTGTTACGACAGTGGAAGTCGCGCGATGCTGGAAGCATGTGCACTGAAGTTTCTAGAAGGATCGTGACTTAGCAGGCAACCTCACGAATGTCCCAGCAGTTGCTAGATGCCCTCTTTTTTAGTATATAAGCCGGAGATAGATTGAAGAGAAGAGAGGTAATCAAGTCAAACGAGCAGATATGCAACAATACTTTATTGATTTATCTCAAAATTTAATAACAATCACAAAATGCTAATCACTACACCTGTTCAACTTAGCAACGAAAATGAAATGCACTTCTAGGCATTGCTGCTCCAGTGGGCTATCCCTCATTCACCCCAGTCTTCCAGCTTTGCTTGCAGCTCTGCCAGTGGTGTGATGCTGCCAGTGACTCAATGATTTTCAGGATCGAAGAATTTCAATTTCCATTTAATATTTTATTTCCTTTTTTAAATTGCAATTAATTAGTGATTAATATTTTTAAACCACCATTTTGCTTAACAAGCATAACATTTAAAGTTTAAGATCAACATTATTTTTAGGTTATTGAGAGTCAAGATATTTTTACTGTGGGCTCTTGTTCAACTGTTCCAATTACAGCAAAGTAATCAGAAATGTTACATTTTTGTTGAGCACAGAAGTATAATGCAATCAACAGGAGTATAGCGCCCATTGTGCTATAAGCTCATAATGGCATGTACTATTTATGTAATTAAGATTTTGTATTTTAAAACATTCATTTTTATTATCATTGTAAAATATGAGTTCCTAGCAGTAGTAAAATCAAACATGCTGTTGACTTTACAAAAATAATCGATTGATTTACTTTTTACAGATGGGGCAGTGCCCCTATTGCTCTTCAGGATGAGCTGCCACTGACCCCACCTATGTTGTAATTAGAATGACCAGTCACATGTGTAGTGCAAGTTGTCCTGGGTAAATTAGAGGTTTCTTGTAAAACTAAACTTCATTTGGTCAATCTGGTCTGGAACATCAATTGAGTAGTGTTATTCAGAACTTGGTCTTCACTAGTCAGTCGTGTAATCCAGTAAAGGTGATCATACCATGTAAGTAACAGCATGTACACACATAGTATTTGTGTTTAGTGTTGAATAAAGGCTATTTATTTTGTATTACATTTTGTGTGCAGTCTTGTTACTTAATTTTACAATGATTCAGCTAGAGATTTAGTAATTTTTGTAATCGATATCTTGAGTGAATCTCCCATTATCTAGTGGATTATCTGGGGTAGTTTGGTTTTATATACCAACAATCATCCTTTCAGAACATCATTGATATAAGCAGCAGGAACAAGTAAATGATTTTCAAAACTTCTACATTTCTCATAATACCTACATTCAGAGGCACAATATATTTTTTAGAAATAGCTTTTACCAAAGATAGAATTGATTGTATTTTAACTCTCTCACTGCCATGTTTATATGTAAACAACTCTTTCACAGCTACGATTATTTTTAGATTCATAATGAAAAAAACAATAGGACATTTTTGTAATACTTCATTATTTATCTGAAATCTGAAACTGATAAACTTTGGGAAGTGTAAAGGGGATTATCCTTTCTTCATGTGGTACAAAGTTCCTAACTCATATTCCAAGAACTTACAAGTTAAAGCAAAGAAGAATATGTGATATTAAGTCAATCACACTACATCTGCCATATCCAATATGAATGAGGTCTTTCATACAATACCAGAGCTCATCAGGCAGGCTGGGATATCACAGACATGGTATGGTCTAAGGACTATTTATATCATCAATTTCATGAACAATGGTTATTGACTAGATAACTAAGAGAATTACAAAACGTATACATTTTTATTTTAAGTCATTTACAAATCAGAATTAGAGCAAATATTAATAAAACAATTTTATTTATGTATTTGAAACACCAAATTATCTATTATTATTGTTATTTTATTTGAAGTAACTTTACAATCATTCAGAATAACTAGCAACCAGCAAGATAGTCCTCTTGTAGCAGTGCTCTAGATGGGGCAGTGAAAGATCGTTTTTAGAGAAAAGCCACATTGGGCTATCCGTTATGTCCACCACAGGGAATCGAACCCCGAATTTTAATGTTGTAAATCTGTAAATCTACCACTGTCCTACTAAGGGACAAGTGAAAGAGCTAAAAACATTTTAAAATCTAAACCAAAACCAACAACAGCTGCAGACAATTCCCGAGTTTATTATTATTATTTTTTTATATTTTGCTATTAATATTGACCAAGAGGTAAACAGTATACCAACTAGCCCACATTTAACTTAGTTTTAAAAAGAAACACTCACCACACTATCTTTGGATGAAAGTTTCTGAGATTCATAATGGGAAGGAACAACTACAAATGTCAATGTCCCATTCATTGTTGCCTGTAATAAAAAAGAGAAAAAAAAAGGGTTTTATACTCAAAAATTTTTGCTAAGCACTAAATATGTGTTTATATATAATCTTTGAAAAAAAAAAGAAACTCTCAAATGACAGCCAGTACCTAAAAGCTCTTTCATTTATTATAATAAATTGCTAATATCAATCTATAAATAAGCTACTGAAGAGCCAATATTTAACACTGAAGAAACGTTCAAATCACGTATATTCTTTATTAATTTTGTTTACAGTTATGCATAAGGGTGTGTATATATATATATATATATATAATATACCAACTTAGAACTGAAAGATAATGGTGTCAGTGCGGTGGAACCTATTCATAACCTATTCTTGAAACAAGTTAGGTTTGTGCAAATATTTGAGTTCTGCAAATTCTGTAGAAGCTTGAGCATATACACTATAATTAAAAACAGCTTCACAAATAAAGAGCACTTATACACAATCAAAAGTATCAAAAAATAACATTTTTCATTATTTTGTATACATATTTAAGCAAAGAAGGATAATCATCACTGTACTGTAATGGATTTATAACTGTCCATCCATACTATATTTCTGGTTTCCTTTTAACAATCAGTTTGCTATCTAAGTTCCACAAGGATTAGTGGCTGCTATTGTTTACGAATTTTGGGGTACACTTATATATTCATTTTTCAGATCATGAATATCAATACTTGATTTCTTAATAAAAGTATAATGAAGATGTACAGATAAAGTAACCAACAAGTTCCTTATAAATCTAAACACTGATGCAGATTTTGGAGGTATAAAGATGTATATAAAAAAGATATAGCTAAAATACATTAAAAGACTATCCTTTGAATTTTGCTTTACCTCTCACTTTATTTTATTATGTACAAATGTTAGACTGATAAGGTTTTGTAATTATATTTCACCTAAATGAATTCATATTTTATTATGAGAGAAGAAATGGGGAAATAATTGTATTGCATCATCATAGCTGGAAAAGCTACTTATTTAACCCTTCCATGACTAGTTTAGAATAAATCTTTATTCAAGTATATTTAAGTAAATTTCTGAATTTTCATGAAGGGTTCTGCATGTAGTTTTGACATTTTCATTAACTGAATGCAAAGGGTCATAGACATGTACTATTACATTTACTTAGGTAAAAGAACATATGGCAATGGCTAGAAGCTTATATTAATTTGGCCCTGTGTCTGAGTCCACTTCCTGGGGTATGGAGGACATCTCAAGGAGTGACACGGATACTTGTAGAAATGATTATGAGTTTGGATTTTTCTCCCCTGTATGTGTTTCTTTCCTTTGTTGTTAAAGTTCAAAATTATTCTCTGCAGTACATTTCTGGAATCTACATTTCTGCAAATACTTTAGATTCATCTGTCAGATACCTGAACACCACATTATTACACAGGTATAAAAAAATGTCAAATATAATGATTCAGAAAAATTATTTATGGAAAATTCAAATGCCAGAACCAGGAAAGGGTACAATTATGTGCCAGATACTAATTATTGTGTATATATATATATATATATATACATACACACACATACCAGCTGGAGCACCCGTCCCTCGATGGAAGTTATGTAAATTCATGAATAATGAAAGGTTATTTTAGAACATAAAAGTTGCTTCCCTTATATGTAGTTGTAAAAAACACCCGTAAAAAGTGCAAAACATAAAATGTAAAACCTCATATTTGCACATTTCCACCTGGAACCAATAAACCTTCATGCCAAATTTAGTAAAAATCCATCAACAAGTTGTGAAGTAGTGGTAAAAAATGCAAAAATGCCCATAAAAACACAAAATGGACCCAATGAACTTCCACACCAAATTTGGTCCATCTACAGGGGGCAAAATAGTGGTAAAAAACACAAAATGCAAAACTGAAAATTTGTATGTATCTCCCTATGGACCCAATGAAGCTCCATAACAAACTTAGTAAAGACCCATCTATAGGAGGCAAAGTAGTGGTAACAAATGCCTATAAAAAAAAATGGCAAAATAAAAAACTGAAAATTTTTATGTAACCCTACATGGACCAAATCAAACTCCATACCAATTTTGGTGAAGTCCCATCCACACCCTTCAAAGTAGTTAGATGTACGTACAACAGACAGTACTATTATATTTATATAGATGTAGCACAAAGATAATCTTACTTGCCCTGTTGTCAATGGTTGATTATTATATGGTGATAAAAATGGAAAATTCACTTTTAATTGAGCAAATGGGTGAAAATAACCATACTTTGTTGAAACTAAAGGATAAAATTCTATTATTACATGGCTAGTAAATTTTCTGAAACTGCTGTATAACAATATTACAATTAAATGAGATAACAGTAAATATATTTGAGAAAAGTTAAGAAAAATTAACTTACTGGATATGTTCTTAAAAATGATTAAAATGGGGAAAAAATCTTGTGGCTCACAAGTTCATTTTTTAAGTTAAAACTAAAATATAAAGCACTTCTATTAAACTTTCAATGGTAGATTTGTAGCACATTATAACCAAATGATAACAAGGAAATAGATGTGATTTTACAACAGTACAACTACATAATCTTAATAAAATAACTCTGATATACTTAATAATATACTTTACAATGCAGCAAAAACAGTTATGAATCAAAGTATAAAAAATTGAAGTATACAGTATACTATCAAAAACAAAAAGTAAAAACATTTTGAACATCTCTGCATATTACCTGGGGTGCATCTGCATCTCACTACACTTGAAATCTATACTGAGTTAATCAGTACAGGTTGGGCCAGAGTGGCTGTTACATATAGTACCTTTCTCATTACTATAACCTTTTGTAATGTAATCACAGACCTGCATCCTTCTACCCCCATGTATTTTACATTATCAGTGTTTAGATTCCTGTTTGTAAATACGACCCATCTTGTTTGAGATCTATGATGTAACCTTTCCTATGGAATGTGAAGGAAAGTTATAGAGCTCCCTCATGAGAACATTCTAAACATTTTTCAGATTGTTCAGGAAATATCAAGAATATTCTAGAAGCAGTCTAAAAGTCTGTATAAACCAACAAGCAGCCTGAGTTGTCATAGTTTACTATGTACTCAAGTAGAGAATCTTATAATGCTGATTCTATTACACATTTCACTCCAACGTTGCACAACATGAAACAGCAGGCAGTTTAGAGTCATTGTTTAAGAGTTAGGAGAAGAAAATATAGGTAATAGTGATAAAAGTAGTGGATCAGAGAGTGAATATTATTTTTATCAAATTCAGTAACAGTCATAAGAAGAAAGTGATACTTCATTTGAACTATAATCAGAAGAAACAAAGTCTGAAGCACCACCTCAGAGATGGCAGCAAAAAAGATGGCCAAAGTTCTTTCTATACAGCAAGCAAAAATAAGTAAATATATTGTAAAGGATTGAAAATACAGTAATGTATGACAGAATGGTTAAGGTTATTTATGGGTCATTTTACATGAGAATAGATTTATACCTGCAAAAGGGAGGAGCTAAAGGGCTGAATGTCAAATGTGAAGCCTTATTTGTGGCCATGAGACTCCTTTAAAGCAAAGGGTCTGGAGGTTAGCCTTGTATTTTTTATATTTTCACAGGAAAGTGGAATGGCATAATGGAAGTTATATTTGTTAGGTTACTAGTCATGATGTGAGATTCAAAGCTGACACTAAAGAAAAAAAAAGCCAATGACCTTTTAACACCACTACCCATAGCATTATGAACTTCTAAACGTTTTATGTAAAACAGATTTCAAGGGGAAACTGATATAGCCAAGCTAGTTAGATTAAATATTACATTAGATGGCTATAACATATCACCTGAAGTCAAATTTTAAATTATACCTATAACTACTATTCTACACTCACACGCAGAGTGAGTGTTGAATGCTCATCTTTTTCAGTCACTTACTGGATTTTCTTTCCTCTTTCATGGACACACAAACAAAGTGAAAATCTCCTATACAAATTGATAAAATAACAAATAGGAATTATCAATCAGTATGATATCATAAGTGTGCATATGGGCTAAATAGCTAGGTCAGAGAACCCTTGTATGAATTATAGGCATCCATAATTTTGAACTATTAACCAGAAGGAAGGCAGACATCCAGCAACACCTGCCACCACAAGAGGTTTGTCCATCTCTTTGAACTGAATAATGGTATTCACTGTTACCTTTACATTACATCTTGAACCCCAGATCTTTGATCCAAAGCCCAATGAGCTAGCCACTAGGCCACACTAGGCCAATAAAATAAAAACATAAGTTGTTGTAACTTCTCTGGTCCCCAAAACAAGTGATTACAGTAAAGAAATGTCATTGTTTATTCATGCTATGATACAAAAGCACATAAAGCATTTTAATTAAACTCACCAAGATGTCACATACTTCATTGACTGACTTTCCTCTCATTTCTATACTGTTCACTTCCAAGATTTCATCTCCTTCATGAAGAAGTCCTGAAAGATTTATAGTTTAATAATAAAATTGCCATATAATCTCATTAATCGTACTTATTTTTTGTTCATATATACTTTCTAGATAAATCTTGTAAAACATCCATTATGTTTGCGTGTTTCTACTTAGCTTGCTTATGGTTATATCAACTTTTTATCCTGTATTAGAATACCGTCTAGGTTATTATACACTACCGTCATGTACACAAGACTCAACACACCTTATACCTTCAAGGTTATTATACACTACTGTCATGTACACAGCACTCAACACAAGCCAATGATTCAAAACTACAACACAGTTTGTAATAACTGATCAATCTTGAATTATTACCATAAATGTACTCAAATATCTTTTGTAAAATACCTTCCTACACTCATAAAAATGGAAGAGTTACAAAAACATACACAAGATAAAAAACTTATTTTCTAAAATTTTCTTTACACATTTTATTAATTAATTAAAAATATAATTAAGAAGATTAAAAATAAGGTCAAATTATTTAAATTACTTAAGATAGCAGTAACATGGATTTTACATCATTCTTTCAGAGAGCAATTTCTACATTAAACATGTCAATGCATAACTGATGTACATGAAAGAGATATAAATGCTATAAAAGTTTACCACTTTTTTCAGCTGCTCCTCCTTTAACAATTCTCCCTATCACAACAGCCTCACCTTCATTTCTTACAGTAGCACCCTATAAAGAAATGTTCACAAGTTCTAAGTAATTAAAAATTCTTGGTGGAGCATGATCAAAAATACATTTAGTCTTTCAAGGTATTTAATAAATATTGTTACGTCTCTGCTCGTTTGTTAATTTCTAGCAGAAATTCTTCCAGAGAAACTTCAGCGATTCAAGTCTTTTCTTAAATAAACCTAATTTATTCTTTCTCAATACAACTTTGTAATACACTTAATTTCCACAGTCACTTAAACA